CAATTCAGAACCGAAGCCATTTTTTGAGGGTCACTAGGAATCACTGAGTGCTACAATATTGCAAGGACATGGGGTCCAGAAAAATCTGTCTTCGTATCTATTTGAAGTACACAGTGCCAAAAATCCATGAAAACACCCTATAGAGGTTACCTTGTTGACCTTCGTTCTCCACTATACAATTCAGAACCGGAACCATTTTTTCAGGATCAATATCAATTATCAAAAGCTTCAAAACTATCAAGACAAGGCCTTGCAAAAAATCTCTCTTCTAAATAATGCCTAGGACATACCATCCCTAATGGAATCATATGGATCTCATAGTGAATCTTGCGTCTTTTCGTTCTCCGCTATTTGTTTTAGAATCAAAGCCATTTTCTTGACCATCAAGATTAATCATCAAACGCTTTAAAACTACCAAGACAAGTGAACATAAAAATGTTGTCGTTTGATTGATTATGTGGGACATATTGCTCAAAGTACATAAATAGATATATGATAATTAATTGTTAAGACCTCTGATCTGTACTCTTTTGCCGAAACTCGTAGAATTAGGAAGTCTTATCTATCTAACAAATATGGCAGGAGAAGTATATTTATATTATCGTAGTTCGAAGAAAGTTGGGCTTCGTGGAGTATCACATCATATATTTTTAAATAATTTGTGGATTTCAATACTAGCTGATAGTGTATTTCGATTATACAGTTGCGAAATAGTACATGTTAGGAAATGAAGAACACTTTTTAAGTTTTTTGATTTGGTGACTGCATTGTAATATAATGTATGCATTATTGATATCTATTAAAACATAAAATCATGAAACAAAATTCTATGAAGTCTTTCTTTGTTGAAAATGATTGTCATGAGAAATCTGAACAGTTTTATTCTTTTAGACCTTATTTTCATTAAGCAAGTGAGTATCGATAGTTTTCATCTTCATCGGTTGATTCAACAAAATCATCAATCCGATCGCTATCGTCAAGTAAGTTCAAATAAGAGCCAGATGGTTGATTGATTGTTGGTCCGTTGTAATATCGTTGGTATGATAGAAACCAGATGGCAGCTGCTCGATGTGAACAGACTCCTACCTTTCTATCGCCACTTGGACAGTCGCAACAACTATTTAGAATATCTTGTGTAGAAAATGAAATGTAAGCATGATAGGTTTTTGTGTTGCTATGACGAGATTTAAAACGTATCCGAATAAGTTGAGGATCGTTAGCACATATTTGTAAAGGAAAATCAGCACGATTATCTAAATGAGTAGTTGAACAGTGTTCTTCACAATAACTGCGAGCTTGTTTTAACTGAAACACCCCTAAAAAGTGATTAAAACGAAATTGATTCAAAGATTTATTAATGAAAATGAATAGAGTTTTTTAAAATAAATTAGTATATTCAAGTAGTATAGATAAACCAGTACAAAGTCTATATGCTATTGAATAATAATAATCATTGATTAATGTAGCCGTTTAAGAAGCAGTTTAGTAAAGAGAAACTACTTTTTTTATCAAACGTTTTTATGACAAACTTTACTAAGAACGAGTTTGTAAGAATATTACTTTGTATTTATCTCGATAAAAAAACTAAATTAAAAAAATTCTCAATAGAAAATAAAAATATCATATTCTCATTAACTGAGTCTTCTACATATAGATGTTGCTTTTAGTTTTTACAATTAAGAGCAACCATATTTCTTAGCGATAAATATGTTTTCAGATAGGTCAAAATTACAAATTGACATCTGTTTATCATAAATATGATGTTACTATACATACCAACTGTTATTGTTCGAATTTGATCCATACTTAATACTGGAAAATTAACAAGTTCTGAAGCACCATCATCTACCCAACGAAGAATTTCATCATTAATACGTACACGAAGTAAATTTGGTTCATGAAGATTTTCTAACATCTTAGTAACAATTATATCATCATTCATAAATAGGGGTGTCGTCTTAGCATTAGTATTGCATTAATTAATACTTTTTTTAATACTTTTGTATTAAAGTTAAATAACTCAGTTGATACTTTTGCATTAGTCTTAAAAAAATAACTTAATGCTTTGGTATTAGTGTTAACTTTGTATTAAGAAAATGCTAATACCTATCATGATCATGCAATTAGTTGATGGATCTATCATTGTAGTTCTACCACTAGCTTCTCTATAGTTGAATTTTCTTTGTAACATTTCTATACAGAGAAAATGTCACGTATGCACCTGGATGACATACATGTACATTTATAGTTCTTCAGAAAACATAATAATTTTATCAGATGTCGATATTGTAAGAAGAAAACTCAATCTAAGCGTCATTTAGCGAGAATAAATCGTATATTACTTACGTAGCACATCTTAGGTCTGGATTCGAGTATTTCTTGAAATGATTCGCTCCAAAACACTTTCCAAAGCAGTTCAACAACTTTCCAAGTAGAACTCGACGAGCTCTATCTAACCACACCATTAATTTTTCCCGAGCCCCCCCCCCCCCTCAAACCCAGAAAATCCATAAATACCATCAAAAAAATGTATAAAATGCAATCAATTCCCGAAAAACTTGTCGCGATTCGCCCCTGAGTGCTTTCCAACTAAACCATTAAGTTTCCAACTAGATCTTGACGTGCTCTATCTAACGAACATCTTTGGAATCAAATACGGTGCTTCTTTCCCCCCAAAATCGCCACTTCCGGGCCTCATTCCTATATATGTACAGAAACGGCTGTCACGATTCGCTCAGAAGCACTTTCCAAGTATATCAACCAACTTTCCAAGTAGATCTCGACGAGCTCTATCGAATGGACACCTTTGGAGCTCGATA